GTAGAACGTCGACTGAAGGCAGTGCGTCGATGCCCACAGCGTTCTGCTGTTCAGCTAGAATCAAGCCCGATCTCGAGACCCAGGCATCAATGCAATCCATATCGTTTCCTGAAAGACGTCCGGAATTACGGACTCTTGTTCGAATACCTGACTTTGTATCTTCATTCAGTGCGTTCGCAGAATGCATCAAATGCATTTCCAAAAGCTAAGGTTATCAGCCAAGGTCATTCTCAAGAAAAAGCTGATTCGTCTAGCACACCTTGGTCTCGCAAACGTAGCAGAGCACCCGCAGGAGTTCCTGTAGTGCAACCAAGCCTCCAAGTGTCGTCGCGCAAACGAGTTTTACGCCTCCATTCTGGACCCATTCACGCATGGCTTTGTTGACGAGCGGAAGAGCTTCTTGGTGAACCTCATGACATGTCCTGAGGATAGTGGTTGATACGGAGTGCGAGATCAGCGTGACTCGTCCTTCGCGAGAGTAATTGTTGATCGTCGTATGTTTAGTCGAGCGCGGCAGGCGTTCATACACCATCAAACGAACATCCTTTGGAAGATCAAGGAAACGGAAAGGTTCCGGGTTTGACGCGCATGAGGTCAACGCCATGTTGACGATGGGCTGGAGTTGCGGCTGCCGGCGAGTACTACGAAAGGCAGTGGGTGAGGTCGTGACCGCAATCAGGAAACTGCTCGAGCCATCCATGGATGTTTGCGCTCACTAGCGCCATTGTGGTGCCTAAAGCACGGGCGACAGGCACGTGGGCGTACGCTTTCGGTGTTACAAGCGCTTAGCCTACGACTGTACACGACCAGCTTTTGCCTTCCATCGCACCATCGGCATGCATCGACCAAATCAAGCCCAAACCGCTACTGCTATCAACACTATGAGCATGACTACGCCAGTGCCCTTTCAGTTCCTCAGTCTCCCTAAAGAACTCCGACTCATGGTCTACGAGCGCCTACCACGGCAGATCAAGCACCACCACGTCATCGACCCCTCCAGCTCGAAAGGATGTCTTGTTCTCATCACGAGGTGTCTTCCGGTCGCAATACTTGCAGCCTGTAAACAGGTCAACGCGGAAGCGAGCGCAATCGTGCACAAGATCCAAAGAGACTTCATTTTGAGTGAAGGAGTCAGATTCATCGTGAACCGCCAACTCGTCCGTCACAAGAAATTCGCAATGTTACTCCACGATTTGGTGTATATCTGGTACACTCAGCAAAGGCTGGAATCACTGGGGGCTCTTGTGCGCCATACTCTCCAGTCCCACCTTGGATACCGCTCGACTGAATCGGGCATTCACACGATGGTCACAAAGTTCAACGCTCAGACGCGGCAGCAAATAGCCTACACCAAGGATACCTTAGGGCCCTACGCACGAGTACCACTCCGATTCGTGTCTGTGGATGACTTGGGAAGTACAAGAAGTTTGAGGAAGAAGACGAGGAGTTGTGCTAGGATCTGTAGTAGGCTTAGTCGGGTCTGCACTCCCCACAACATCCTGGCGATCGTTTGCGACGGCTTTTTACCAGCGAACTCGTATACCACTTCAGGCTTTGACCGAGACGCCATTCTCACGCTGATAGATCTCAAGTATTGGGATAAAGACAGCGTCGACGTCAGGGAGCTTCCAGTCGTGCATAGCAAGTGGCCCGATAGTTGGATGGAATGATCCGCTTCTCGATATATTTAGATGAAGTGATGTGTTGGAGTAGAAGCAAACCTATAAGGGGATCATTCTCTATTCCATTGTTGCTCTGCTATCGTTACCTATCAGTGTCGGCTCGGCGTGTGTATCAGAACCCGAGAGAATTATCTAATTCTCTTTTCGGTCATGCCTCGCTTTCAGGTGGTGAATCGGGATGCCAACGAAAAGATTGTAGCCCATTTCCAGGCGCTCGCTGATAAGCACAAATGCACAGTAAGCCAGCTTGGCCTGGTCTGGCTGCTCAAGCAGGGCGACGATGCTATCCCCATACCAGGTAACGAAGCGCATCGAGTATCTCGAGCAGATATGGGCGAGCATGGAAATCAAGCTGAGCGACAAGGACGAAAGGGACATTTGAGCCTTTGCGAACGATGCAGAGGTGAAGTGAACGGCGCAGCAGGCTCAGTTCTTCGGCTATTTGTTTTGCAATACGGTCGGACGGCAGATGACCGGATATAACGTTCATGTGGCGCTTTGATATTCCAGATAGCTACATCGTGTAACTTCTAAACTACGCCTACGTATATCTATCATCAATGATGGCCCTGACTCTAGCACTGGCACAATGACAGAAGAAAACATGTTCCAGGTAGCGACGCGTATCGGCAAAATGAACACTTCAATAAATTGTTGTCTGTCGCGTATGGGTAGTATAACATCGATTGGAAAGTACATAAAGACGACCTCGGCGCATAGATGATCATTTAGGACAAGTTTTATCCTCAGTGACCGTATCACACCATCATAGCACCGTGCATGTCCTCGCGAACAGCACTCATCCGCCTGCTACGCGCTTTGTCAGGTGTCTGCATACCGTCGGAGTACTGCTCTCCACTCCATCGATGACGATTGAAAAGCGGTGGAAGCAGGAAGTTTTGTAGTGAGCGAACGCGAACATGCGTACCGTCCGCGTGGTATAATGACGGTGCGCGAGACGAGGAAACTCGAATTGGCATTGCAGCTCCGAACGGTGAGGTTGGAATGAAGGAGTAGCGGAAGGAGGGGTGTCGGAAGCTATTTGGCTCTGCTTCGTATAGTTTGTCGTCATTGCGAGCCGGTGTGGTATGATGCGTTGTAAAAGTCGCGCTTGTAGAAGGATGTTCAAGATTGTCTTTGTTCTCCCGGTTCCTGTTGATTGATTAGCGATGGTCTCCGTTAGTATTTGGAGATACTGACTTGCACATCTCGCAAGGGCGTGACGTGGTCTTCATTCTGAACGGGTACATTTCCAATGTAGCCATGACACCAATGCAGGTCAGTGCCATCATGATACCGGGATGGAGTCCGTAGAACCAGAATTCGAGCCAGGAATGCTTATCGAAGGTCTTCATTGTGATAATATGTGAGAGCGTAGTTTGAGGCTCTAGATGTGTACTGCCAAAAATGGGGCAATTGAAGTTGCCGCTATGATTGTAAAGCACTGAGCTGACATCGCGGCGAGCTTGTGGGTCACTTTAACTCCCGCGAGACTACAACCAACAGTTCGGCGACCTGTCCATCCCGCAAGGCTCTTGCCGGCCCACGCGACGGAGATTCATCACAATACGGGGCCTTTATGCGAGGCTGAGGCAGTGTTTCGTTGCTACTTTGGGACTGAGCTGGTCTCCCGGCGTCGCTGTATGCCGTGATAGGCTGGATATTACGGTGACTTGGTTCTTGATTCGTGGGTGATTAGGAATTGAATTGATCATCCTGATCCAACTGTTCCGGTTGGCAAGGTTGGTAACGGGGTTCGAAGGCTTTGAAACACCACCAGAATCAGTCGTGGGGTGCTACACTTCGGACACTCCGATAACAGGCCGTACGAGTTCGCCCGAGCAATGGGTATCAGTTGCATTCCGCGATGTAATGAGTTGTAGAAGTCTGAGCTGTGATCTCAAGCTTGGCGAGAGAAAGGTTCGTGATGTCTCAGACGAAGGCTGTTGTCGAAAACCTCTTCCCATTTCCTGACACTCGTACAAAGCCCGCAAAGAGACTCTGGAACACAACGGACTCACCGAACAAAGCCACCAGAGCGCTACGATCTCGTTTGAGATTGAGTTGGGATGAAAGCAAAGCACGATGATCTGATCCGAACCTGTACTTGGTTCATTCTTGTCCGCGAATGATGGCATCCCGAAGATATGTGATAATGTAGAGCACGCAGCCCTGATCTCAGACGCAATGGTCATTCTCATGCGGTGGACGATGTGCCATCCAATGGCATTCCAAGTTGCGTCGGGCGTAGGGCGTCCTGGGCGTGTTGAGTTGGGCTCAACAGGCATCCATGGATTTAGGTGTATCGCGGGCGGACCGCGCCTTCGCTTGCATTCAGCAGCCGATATCGATGATTAGAAAACATAGCACATGTGAACTGATGTCGTTAAGATTGTAGGCAGCCTCGAAAGTCATGAACAAAAGTCATGAGCGATGGCCCAAACGACGATGAAAGTATGCACCGCGCATTGGCCAGCCAATCAAACTCTGCTGCCCAAGACATGCCGTCTTCCGCGGTTTTGACATGTAACTTCGCTGCGTACGTACTTCGTAATCCAGGACGCGCTGCTAAAGAGTCGAGGCTGCTCCGTGTCGACGTGAAAGATTGTGATGTGACATCCAGAACCACAGGCGATCGATGTGGGTCAACGTGGGGCAGTTCCGTTCCGGGTTAGTACCAACACCTGCGGCGGTTGTACCCGTCCCTCCTGCATTCTTCATCTCCTTTCACACTGCACCATCGGCGCTGTCGATAATAATGCAACAACCATTTATCCCGTCACATTCGCAATTTCGCGCTTCGACTGTAATCGATGATCGCAATACCTGACTAATTGGAACTTGCTACTGCATCGCTCGATCACTTGGCGATGGCCCTTTCGTGGTTACTTGTACGCGTTATGCGCCTCGGTAAAACACCAGTCTTGTCGCGCATTGGAGACACATGTGTTTGTACGATTGAAAGTATTATAATTATGTACCCCATCTCGTATAACAGTCTATCCGCGCTGACCCGGAACTCCAGCCTTCGCAAATAGATAGACCGAGTCGCAAAGTACCGCTGTAGCGCTTACTGCGAACATGCTACACCCATCTTATCTTCAAGCCACCAAGCACACTCAAGCTGCGCAAGCCGTATCAAGCTGAAAACACCCAAAGAAATCCAATCTGCACAAGCCTCCATCTATATTTTCGTGCAGTACGCGCTATGGATCTTGTAGTCGAACGTGCCCAGATCTCCAAACACCGACGCCTGGTCCTTGCTGCCGCATTCCATCTTCTGGCCGTTGGCAGGACAGTCGTGGCCACTAGTGGAAGTTAGTTTCCAACGGTCTTTCCAAGTAAAAGGAGAGTGATCGATATGACGTACGTGTAGAACTTGCAGTGGTAGCCCTTCTCGACGGTGACGCTGCGGATCTTGCCATCGAAGTTGCCAAAGATGTTGTCTATGTCGGTGCAGAAGTCGTTGGCGGGAATGGCGGTTGACCGGCCGTTGAAGTTTTTGTCGGTGAAGATGGTGGCCCCGCGACCGTCCGCTGCGGCCTGTGAAATGTTAGTATGATGGAAGGAAGGTAAGTTTGGTGTGGTAGTCTTCGTTACGTACGGTCGGTACAGCAGCGACAAGCGTGCTCAAGAGAGCTAAGACGGGGATGAAGAGCTGCATTCTGTGGGTTCTATTTGGTTGATGGTTCCTGGAAATCGAGAGATCGTCGAGACTAAGTAGAGGGTGGAAGTTGCGGGTTTATTTCGGCGGAGGCGTAGGTTCTTTAATATAGGGAGGGCGCGGGCAGAGAAGGAGCGAGGCGTGGTCATGACGGCTTATGACGCTAGCCTGTAGTTAGATGAACAGCAGTCTTTGTCCCTTATGAGTGAAGCGACTGTGGCCCAAGCTTCCAAAACGAGCGAAGGCTGCATTTGTCTATGCTTGTATCGTGAAAGCTAACGGTATTCTGGTGGTAGGCGCTGGGGCTAGTTGTTTATATTGCGGCGCAGGTGTTCCCGCAGTTCGGTAGGATAGCCGCATCAAGAAGTTTGTAAGATCCCTCGTCCAACACGCACTAGACGAGGCGCGGATATGCCCAACACAGGCACAATAAAGCCACGGCTTGTTGGGATATTGGCGAATCAAGTACGCCAACAACTGACTGCGTATATGTAATTGGAAGCATTTTCTTTGAAACAACACAAATGCTTTCCCTTGCGGACGTCGTCATAAGCCATTTCCGAAAGGAACATTTGAGCAGATGGGCGTATCTTGACGTTATGCGGGCGCGCATTAAGTATAAGTAGGATCATTGAGAGCGACTGACCATGATGAGACCATCCACTATATGAACGATACCGCGCTACCCGATTTCATCGACGTAATTCTCACGTTCATACATCTTCAATCCACTTATGATTAGGTAATTCTCATGCAATATAGAGGACCTCTTCATCGCCTCTACAGCTTAAATGTGGCGCCACAAAACCAGATGTCTCTTCCTTTCGTAGTCCAGTCTTTTTGTCGATAATCCAGCACAGATCGCCGGTGACGCCAATCCTCCTGTAATGATCCCCCACAGCCTGTAGAATTATGAATACAGGATGGTTACTAGATACACCCTGATACTCATCATCCTGCCAGTTGAAGTTCAGTTTAGAGCTACGCTCGACCAGTACTGCTTTGACAGTACTGTCCGCTGTAGATTCTGTGAGCTCCGTGTCAGATCGAAGCTCGATAACGATCTCGAGGTCACCATCATCCACACTAGCGTGTTCGAAGATGACGAAAGGTGTCTTTGGCAATTTGGAATGATTGCCTCCGTGCTTTTTAACTTTGCTCGGTTCTCCATTTGCTGAAAGAAAAGCCGTGTAAAACAGCCCTGTAAGTCGTAAGGTAGGACCAGAGTCCTCGGGCAAAGGTTCATACCGACTTTCAGGCTGGCTCAATGGAGTCAGCCAACGTCCGTCAGCTGTAAAAATCTCTGCAACGAAGTCTGGTTCTTCACAATACCCCCAGATCGACATATATTTAGGACCAGTTGTTGCTACCCACGACCAAGTCGGGAAACTTGTTCGTCTTTTGCCAGGATGCTTGCTGCGCCAATCCAAACAGAGATAAGGACGCACGGTAGAGTCATAGTTCGGCAGAATCACCATACCCCAAAAGTGATGATCCACGAGCTTCTCCAACATTCCGATGCAGGCGTTAAGGATATCGCCGTCGAAAGACAGCTTTCTGGCCGAGTAGTTGCGTATCAGGTCACAAACTCGTTGTCGCAGTCCTAAGGTATCAACCCTTGAGAAACCTGAAAAGTTGCTTCTCACGTAGGAATCATGGTGCTCCATGCCAGGTCGCTTCACTGACTCTTGCCAGAATCCGTGTTCACATTCGCACAGGACTTCCTCATCTGTGAAGACGAGTCGACGTGCTGCCAAATAGCCCTCCTGATGGGTCCACGCTCTTGTCGCCCACGTACTTTTCTCCAGTTCATGATGCGCGTCGATGATTTGAATCAAGTCAAAATCCTTATCCAGTTGAAGAATTCTTTGGGCTTGCCGAGGTGTAGTAGAAACACCTGGTAGTCCATAATGAGACGAACTACCAGCTGCAGCGATGATGACCAGCTCTGCTTCGGCATAGATACGACCCATGAGCTTTATTTGAGCTTGCTTATGGCTCTCGTCTGATTGATGTATACACTGAGCTTGAGTGTTAGCCGTTTCCAGATCTCTGCTTGAGGGAGCCACATACAAGTTGATCGACCCACAGATATACATATCCCAATTCCAGGGTGACTGTGATCGCGTCACGTATCGTCAACGGAAGAGCAGCTTGATCTTCCCCTGGCGCTTGTGTACCACCCCATACGTATGACAAGGCTACGTATTGAAAGTTAATATCCTCAGGGGCAGCCACGACTCTATCAGCGTTGCAGTCGAAGACTCTAAGGCCAGGAATCGACAACGCAAAAGTAGAGTCACACTTTGTGGCACGATGGCCTTTGCAATGTGTGAGCCAACGCCGAAGTATGTCATAGTCGATGAGTTCAGGGGTGACCCTACGGAGCGCATAGGATTGGGTAGACGCACAAGCACCTTGTAATATATACTCCCGAAGGCCATAGGAGGTGCTGTAACTACTAATCTCTCCATGGGCAAGCGGTAATTTGATACATGTGGCATGGTTCCTCCAATCGAGCATATAATGAAGATCCAGAGAGTCCTTGTAATAGGGAAACCATGATTCGTAGCGGGCACAACCCACTGCAAGGCTTCGAACGGGGTTTTCGCCAAACTCTTGATCGATGGCCAGTAATCGACACAATGAACAAGTTGACGCACGGAGCTCCTGACTGGACTCAGGAACGGCGAACAATTTCAATGATCTGTAATACTCGCAGTAGTACGATGCGTCACTTGGTAGAAGAAGCGACCAATCTATACTAGCGCAACGTTGGCACAGATCACCCTCCGGATGGGCTTTCTTGTATTCAGCGTACGGGCGTCGAATCCTTTCCAGCATGGCATTCTCTCTCGCCTTCCATTTGTTCGCTCTGGCAATGAGTTTAGCCGCTTCGTCAAGCAGGCTGGGTGCCGGGAGGAGTGTTATGTCGTCCTGTAATCCATCCATTCTGCTGTCGATCGTCGCGACCTCGCGCGCTTGTCGATAATTGTCCTCGAAAAATGAGCTTGAAGTGAAGAAAACAGTAAAGCAATGCGGCAGGTAAGCTGGTGAGAGAGTGTCGGAGACAACGCATAGCCTGGTCTGTAGATTAGGCTGTCACGTTGCTGACAAACAGCCTTGCATGGTGGCTTGCACGCCATCATGACGAGGTGCATATTGAATACGGCTGCCACAAACGAGTTGCGTTCCGGGCAACGTCCACGAGGGTCCGGAAAAATAAGACATCGAGTACACCTGCTGTGCCTTGCATTGTTATTCATCCGATTGTGAAGATTGCGTTATGTACCTGAAAACGCCATAAACATAGAGGTATCTCAGAAAGCAAGTCATAACCGAACACCTAATCATCCAATCCGCACACTACACTTCTGCGTCCAGCGCAATGACAAACCATGCATCCAGGCTACATCGTCCGCCAAAAGTAGTTTGTGTAGAAGTGCCGCGAGAACTTCGGATCAATATTGACAACATGCACGTCTCCCTTTGTCGCATTGCGCACGACAGCCTTGTTGTATTCGCCGGTCGTGGGGTCGGCTTCAACGTCGATGCCGAGAGTGCGGTAGAGCTTGAGCTTCAATCTGGAGTCTAAGTCAGCATCTACATTTACTTGCGCATGGAAAAGCAGAACTTACACTGTCGCATCCTCACCCGCTCTAGGCTCAACACCACCTTCCACACCCTCCTCTTCCAACTCGCCGGCTACGCCCCCTAACCTCGCGAGATCGCTCTGCAGCCTCTCGCCCTCGATCTCCAGATCACTCGCCTGCTTCGCGATCTTGAATTTCTCGGTGTCTAGCCGCAATATCTCGGCTGCGTGGTTTGTGGGGTTGTGCTGACTGAGTGTGTGGTTGTGGTTCGCAGACAGTGTTTGGTGCGTCCGATTCAGCGCGCTGAGCGAGGACTGGATGGAGCGTAGGTGTTGGGTGCGGAATTCGCTGAGGGTGCTGAGGGACTCGTTTATGCGGTGGAGCGAAGTTTTGTCGTTGGCAATTTTGAAGTGCGATGTGCATTGCGCGATGAGCTGGGTATTGTTAGGGAGGTTCGTATGTGTATTTGGAGAGAGTGCGTACGGCTGCGGGGTCTTCGTCGAGGAGCATGGTGGGCTTTGTGTGTCGCGTGAAGCTTGTGTGTATGGTACGATTGTTTGGAGTGCTATGCAATGTTTGCGCAATCTTTCGTCTGGTATCTGGTGATGTCTATCGCGACAAGGCCATGGTGTTGATGTTCTTGTTTGGATGGCCCGTGCCAAGTCGCGTGCATGGCAACCGCGACCAAGTGGCGGAAGGCGCAGGCGTAGCGTGGCGCATGGCCGGCAGCCACGAGGCGGCGGCGTACGTCACGGTAAAAGATCGCCTGCTCGGCCTGCAGCTGGAGCTTTCACGAGACAGCCCGTAGTTTGACGCTTACCACTTGCACTAACCCATCCTCACGATACCAACTTCCGCCTCCCCCAGAGACGACTTCTCATACCTCTCTAATTTTCTTGCGCAACACAAACAGCCGCCATGCCTCCATCATTACCATGTGAGTGGGATAACGACTTCTGGGCCGACGAACGCTCATTCCCCTTAGATGCCGCCGATGTCGAGTCGCCGCTCAAGCCAGAGGAGCTGCAGGTTCTGCGCGCGCAGTACGAGAAGGAGGGCGAATACGTTGGTCTGCAGACGAAGTTCAACTACGCATGGGTACGGCTTCCCCGCGTCTTGTCACATTTGCACATGCGCACGGCACCACCCGCAACAAGCAAGCTCATGGTATTCTAGGGTCTGATCAAATCCACCTCCCGTCCCGACCAGCAGGAAGGAGTGCGCCTCCTCTCAGAGATCTTCCGCAACTCGCGCGAGCGCCGGCGCGAATGCCTCTACTACCTCGCCCTCGGCAACTACAAGCTTGGCAACTATGCTGAAGCCCGACGGTACAACGAGCTGCTGCTGGAGTTGGAGCCCGCAAACCTCCAGGCCGGAAGCTTGAAGGGACTCATCGACGAGAAGGTGGCAAAGGAGGGGCTGGTCGGCGCCGCCATCGTGGGAGGAATCGTCGTCGCGGCGGGCGTGGTGGGGAGCCTCTTGCTGAGGGGTGGCCCTCGAAGATCGTGAACAGGTGTTGTCGTCGCGAATCTATGACATGCGCAGCGTCTGTTGGATCACCGGTCAGGCCAGGCCTGCAGTCATGTTGATGAGTACATGCATAGGCGTTTGTGGTTTCTATACCTTTGGCAGGGATCGTATGGTTAATAGCAATTTCTGATATCTGTAGTATACACAAAGCTCTCCTACTAAGCAAGCGATAGCACTGACCACCGTATCGCGCAATGTACTGTTGGATTGCTGCGGGCGACAGTCTTTGGCTGATAGAAGGCCTCAGAACTAGATGGAACACGGAAGAAGCGGGCAGAGACAACTGGTCGGACAAACGTAGAGTCAGAGCAAGACAATCAACCGCTGCCGCGTTCAAGAAGACGCGCAAGCGACTTTGCCCCCGTCTCCATCCTACATCTGTCCTCATAACTTCTTGACCCACGAAGCAAAGTGCTAGGTTAGCTTCGCCCAACTCGAGATACCGCGGGACAAATCGCTAGACCCCACTACCCCTGCACACCGAACAACGTCATTCCGGTGTCTGACAGCTTTCGCGCGAAACAACCTTGGAACTATCACCTTACGGGTAGCCTCGCCTGAGATCTCCCTCTACGCCAAACTTCCCTGAATCCTCTCCGCAATTCACTGCGATACCCCCTACCTGTCTGCTGTCGCAGCTCGCCACCATCACCTGTACTGGCAACGGCGCGTGATAGGTCCTTGACTTGAATTGATCCTCTTCCGCGCCTGCTCCCGACACAAGGCCGTAAGTCGGCGTCCGTTGCTCGAACGTTACTTCCATGCTGACATACCTTACCCAGTCTCCTTGAACCTCGCCCTACTACCCTACGTCTTATCACACGCCTCACACCTGCGACCATGGACCAGTCGACCAGCCAGGATGCGCAGTCAGGAAACCCGCGGCCCGGGCATCGCGACATGATGTTTTGCCACGAGTGCGCCGACGAGTGGTATCGAGACGAACACGGCCTCTCGTGTCCAGAATGCGGCTCCGACTTCACCGAGATTGTGAGTTTAGCCGCCAAATCCAGCCTTCAGCCCGTCAAACACGACGCGATGCGGATATGCACCGAACATCGCTGACACCGATTAGATCGAAGACAACAACGACCCAAGAGATGCTGCCCCCGGCATGTTTGGCCATGACGGCGACGACTCCGACTCCCTCCCTGATCTCGAGCACGCCCCACCCCAGTTGAATCCTCACCACAACCCATGGCAGACCGACGACCCGGAGGAGGGCGATATTAGCAATGTTAGATTCACAGAAACTGGTCCGGGAAGGTACAACCTGCAGGCTACCGTTACACGATCCGTATCGCCGCAGGGCGGCATGGCGGTGCCTGGGTCAATAGGAGGATTTATGGCCATGTTGAACGGGCTCACCGGGGCGGCAATGCGACCACAAGGGCAACAACCGGGTCAGCAACCGGGTCAAGGGGAGGGTCTGTTCTCTGGCGCTGGACCAGGTACAGGGCCAAACCAGTCTGCTTTCCAGGAAGCTCAAAACCAGGGCCATGAAGGAGGGCCTCAGATCCGCGGAGGAAGCTTTACGTACCACGGTGGCGCTCGACTGTTCCCCGGCAATGGAAACCACCCAGGCCAGGCCGAGCCTGTGGATGAGATCACCAAGTAAGCAGGAGCGAACCACCATATATGGAAGCCGCTAACAAGCCAAACAGTGTCATGACTGGCCTCATGGCTGCCTTTGGAGCACCACCTCCTCGCGTCCACGCCCACAACCACCCACTCGGCGGCGCTGAGGGTACTTTCCGCGGCGAACACAACCATGGCGCTGGCGAGCAGTTCGCGGGTCACCCTATCCTACAACTATTCTCCTCTATGGGTATGATGGGCGGCCACGCTGGCAACATGGGAGATTTTGTCTACTCTCAAGAAGGCCTAGACCGGATCGTCTCCCAACTCATGGAGCAAACCTCGACGAGCAACGCGCCCGGTCCGGCAACACAAGCCGACATCGATAAACTCCCGCGTACCCACATCACCGAAGAGATGCTAGGCGACGAACACAAGGCCGAATGCAGTATATGCATGGACGAGGTCAACATCGGCGAGCAGGTGACGCTACTGCCATGCAAGCACTGGTTCCACCACCCATGTGTCTCCGCGTGGCTGCTCGAGCACGACACCTGTCCACATTGTCGAAAGGGTATTACCAAGGGTGGCGAGGGCCAGGCAAACAACCCTGCGTCTGCAGACTCACAGACGGATCGTACGTCCCAGATGCCGGGTTCCTTCACTCCTTCCGGCTCGGGCACGTTCAATGATCCCTACGTCGTTCCCGCAGGATCCCTACCCCCACCGTCCAACGGTCAAGGCAGCTCGTCTGATAACGCAAATGCAGGCTCGGGTAACGGTGGCATCAGTGACCGGATACGCAGGGGTCTGTTTGGATCTCCGCAATAGGGATAAAACCCTCTTGTCGGTAATATCAAGCTAATTTTCATGTATATGCCAGGGCGGGACCGGTTCAGGAGGAGTAGAGAGGTACTGCGAGAGGCAAGACAGGTCCGCCGTGAACTTCGCTCCGGTTCTGAGTCGACCGAGCTTTTATCACCGGAGATTATTCTCAGTGGCAGAGCCAATACTGAAGGGGCCCGCCGTGTATCTTCCTTTCTTAGTCCACGGGCTCGGACGCAGCGGTCAACCTCTGGAGGTGGCCCTGAGAATCCAAGCGAGTCCACTCCACAGACCACGTCTCCAGATGGCACTGCGCAACCGAGCGGGCCTTCGACGCGACGACACATACGGCGATCTGCTCGTTCAAGCACAAGGCGTCAACGGTCCGCTTGATTCCTGCGTTGGCGTCGGTACATGGGTTTAGTGGTGGGCATTGATGTGTTTCCTTCCCCACGCGTTTGCTCAGTGGATGCTGCATGTATATAGTTTTCCTTCTCCTCCTTAGACATCAGTATGCATAGTTATGGCGTTCACGATTGGGGTATACATCCACGGATGGGAGTTTTCATAGTTCGCGAGCGCCAATACCATTGCTATCATGAGTTACCTGAGCTTAGAGAACCCGAGAACATTCCAGTATTGTCGTCCCTCACAGATCGCCCATGATTGCAATTGCCGTCGCCACTTTACAATCACATGTCAAATCAGAGAACCCTCCCAACCGGCGGTGTCGCCTCGACAACGCAGTCGAAAGACTTTTTCTGCCGTGATTTACGTCCTCACGCGCCACGATACGACGTTGATGCGAAGAGGCGGTGGAGCTTCACGCGCGAGTGCTGACCTGGCTAGCGCGCCGCCTTGTCAACGGGTGGGGTGCGGTTATGCAGGGCCAGTCCGTGAAATGACTAGGTTCTGGGGTGCAGTGGTTTTGCGGTGAAGAGACTGCACGACGCAAGGTGATATGAAATGCACTCGAGCTAAGAGGGGAGGAGGTTGGGGAAACTACGATCACAGCCACTTTCGGGCTTTGAAGATGGCCTTCGGCGAGGTAGCCGGAGTTTGAGGATGGCAACGTGACGGTCCGAGAGAGGATTGGCGAGGCGAATGGACTGACTGGGCATGGCAAGAAATAATTCAGCGGACCCGATCGAACAACGCATCAACGCATCGACCGCCCATCACGGAAAGGCCCTGCATGACAATTGCGCGCGCGTCCAGAGTGTCCTTGTCTCAGCAGAGTCGAGGCGACCAGTCGGCACGATACTTTGCCCCAACTCTGAGACGAAACGTTTTTGCAAAAGGAAAGACCGTGTTCCTGCAAGCCATTGGGGTTCGCATAACATCAGATCATGCCGAGTCACACGTCGACGCGCCCGTGACCGTGCGCGGAGCCCTACGCTGGAGCCCACGATCTCCGACGATGATGTGCTGGCTAAGGCTTATCGATTGCTCGCCCAACTTCCTGTAATCGAATGCCGAAGCTATGTACGTCGTGATCGTGATACTACGTGCATGGCTGTGATTGGCACGAGGAGACGCGCTCCGGTGGGGGGGACACGTCGTGTGTTGAGGGCGTG